AAAAAAACAAACAAACAAACAAATCAACAGTTTTCAAACTGCTTTAATACATAGTTACATTGTTACTATTACCATTACCTTTTTAGGTAGTTTATATGATTTGATATAGTATAAAGTTTAAATTTTAAAGAACACCATTACCTTTATAAATATTTTATATCATTTGATATAGAACTGTTTTAATGTTATTGAAAATCAGTGCCTCAAATTATAAGTATTTTACAAGATTTGATATAATAGTTCAAAGTTTCAATGTTATTGAATACATCACCTTTTTAAGTGTTTTATATGATTCGATATAGTACAAAGTTTCTATTTTATTGAAAATGTTAATGTTTAACTTGAAATATAAATTTATAGATTAAATTTTATATTACCTACATTGAATTTATTAAAAAAGTTAATGTTTGCCTTGAAATTGAAATTTGTACGATTTAATATACACTGTATGGGGAATAAAGGAATAATATTATTCATGATTGAAGTTATAAGAAAATATTGATTGATATAGTTTACAAAGAAAAAAAAAAAGAAAAAAAGTTTCAGTTCATATAATAATGTTTTGAACATTATTTTCAATTAACAAAAAAAGGGGGAAATTCAGTGAGAACTATTATTAGTTATATTTTAAAGGAAAGTCCTACACATACATGGAAGAACAAAAAAATTAAATGGAGCACGTCATGTTTTACATGTACAATGTACACTGACACCATAAATCATTTTAAATAAAATATTGCAGAATTGAAAATTATTTGACACATAAATTAACTATTAATACTTATTCATTCTCTCGTAAATAACAATAAATTTATAGGCATCTTTAGGGTTGGAGTAATTAATTTAAGTTGAACTCTGTTGTTATCAATGAGCCTAGAGGCTAAATAAAGTGTTTATGAATTCAAGATACCCTCTAGCCTTGTTATGTCTATTAATTTTGAAATACAGGGGAGAGAAATAAAGGAGGAATTTAAATTTCATTTAGCAGTAATTAAACCAGTAACCAAGATTGTTCCTTGGCACAGCTTATTTTAGCAGCCACTAAAAAGCATGTGAGCAGTTCAGGTGTCAAGGAAAAATAAAACTTTAATTTATATCAATGATAATACATAAAAGTTCTTTAATAAACATTAAGAATCTAGTACTATTGTACCCTGTAGAGATCTTTCCAGATGACAAACCACTCTCTCAATATCAAAGTTAGTTCTTTTACGGTAGCATCTTCCTTTGGTACAACACTTTCATTTGCTGTCCTAAAAAAAATAAGAAATTTCATATTAAGTAAATATTTGAAGTAAATGTTTTCAAATAACATTGGACTACAATGGTGAATTATCTAGCATTTGGTTATTATTTCAAGAATATGCATTGTTTCAAGTGAGGCGGGTACATTGATATGTACCACTGAACTCATTAGAGCTTCAACACAAATGTCTTTTTTTCAGTAATGGACATTTAATATATTTATATATTTATTCTAATTAATATATTTCTTCATATATTCATAATGTAGGTGACCTGTCTGAGTATGGGGTCTATGACTCCTTTACAGAACATCGTTATGGCATTTCTGTTTTTGTTAATTTGTTGTCATTAAATTATAATGAATAGATGAATGAATAAATAATGTTAGTTTATATAACAAGGTTTCTCCCCCTACCAGTGAGTCGAAAGCTCTCATTTCACCGTTTTCAACTTGACGTTTTCAATGAAAAGTCGACAATACATGCCAATGAATACAAAAATTGACCCCCAGTTCATGTTGGCCTCTCAAAAACATCATTCTGTGCTTCTGTTCTCTACCATTATAAGGTGTTATAAGGTATTTTAAGAAACAATAGTTTTTATCCTCAGCTTCACACACAGTTCTCTCTTAAGCTAATCTACTAAATATGGATACCTTTGATATAAAGACTTTTTGACAGTGGTCTGCGAGGTGTCTGTTTGACTACACTTCAATTCCTAGCACATGTACATGTTGGTATGGTTTTGAAACAAACAACTGCACTGTATTGTGGGTTATCAATGTGCGATAATAAGTGTAATGAGAGTAGTGAGTCTTTTATGGTAGCATCACCCTCACATCTAAGGTAAGGTTGGTTTAGATGAGTAATTGTAGAGAAACAACTGTCAAAGTGATTACTGAAGGGTAGGCCATGATTCAAGGAATATAGTGTCTTTCTTGGCTGTAAGTGAGGGACAACAGTTGACAGTTGCTTTGATGGATTCTGGGCTAAAAAAACTGATTTTGAACCTGTCTATACAATAGAGTGTTCTCGAGTAGGACACTTTTCGTTTACAACATTAATAAATACATGTCAAAATCCTGGCGTAACAATAATCCTAGCCGCTTCATGCTATAAAAACTGATCAGAAGTAACTAAGCCAGCATACTAGTCATTCACCAAGTTTTAACTAAAACTCTTAAAATACAGATGGATTTTTTTGTCCCACCTAGCAGTGTAAATGACTGTAAACTATAATCTTAACAACCCATGACTGTCCAACTTAGAATCTCAATCTAACTTTGAATAGTCTGTTTCAATAAGAAAAGTTACATTATTCTTTAATATTTAGTTATGTACATGTAAGTTTGGAAATGCTTGGGATGTTGCCAAAAAAAAAAATAATAATTGTAAGTTCTTACCCTGTATTTTCCACAGAACAGTCTTTGAGATGAACAAAGGTTGCTGGAAAAATACCCTGGTATAAACAAAATTGAACAACAAAATGATACATGTTATTGTTTTAAAATTATTTGAAATTTGATATTCATGTAATAGTTAATGTAACGTCTTTGTGTACAGAAGTGCAAGACAAGTAATTACATGTGATTCAGTGTAGTCACTACCACTTCCTACAGCTGTATGTATATGCATTTTTTTATTTCCAGGATGTTCACTTTTTTTAATTAAACATGTTTTATTATTTTTAAATTCAGTCCAAGAGCCCCTACAATCACCATAAGAGTGTATCTGGGTCGATGAAAGCAATTCTTTGAAACATAACTTAGCTGTCTTCATAATCTTAAAATTTAATCTGTATTTATCAAACAAAATTAACAAAGCCTTTAATTTGCAATGCATTGTTTACGTTGTCAAAAAGAGCAGCAATCAGAGCTAATCAAAGGGCCCATAGATCAAACTGAACAACAATTAATAAACAATATTAGACACCCACCGCCAAAAACGCAATTTAATAAACATAATAAATAAATGTTACCATTTTGATCAGCCCACAATCTGTAATTTTGTAATCCACAATAAAAAATTTACAAAGGCATTTAATTGAATTCAGTCGAGTCTTTCATCTCTCAGATCGAGCAAATTGAATTTAAGTAATTAATAACTGCGTTCAATTAAACGTGACAAACAACAAAATAGGATTATCAGGTTACTGAAGCCTCACCTTTACAGATTTATTTCGCGAAGTGCATCCTCGGTACCAACCTGTCGAGTATAAAATACAGCAGCAGTTTGCTTGTAGGACAGCAACTAAGGATATCATCGATTTGAAATTTCAAGTGATTCATACAAAGTATAAATAAACAACCACGACCGATAAATAATCAATATGATCGAGAAGTTGATTCAATAATCAATTAGTGGTAAGCGACTGAACACAGGAAACAAACACATCAAACGATAAGATATTTACTAGCACAGTTTCCTCTCTACCAACTACTAAAGAAACCTTAATTGTTCATCTTTTAAACAGCCACAGAAAATCCGGAAACCATAAAATCAATACATGCACATCGCGATAACAAGATAAACCAATCAGGAAATATTTGCAGGCATTATTGATTGTTACTTTGCTAGTTTTATAGAGTCGATACACACACATCTCACCTGCGCATTCTTCTAAAATATGCACCGTCTCGCCAATGGTTAACCGTAGTCCATGACAGACACTGCCGTCAAAATTATAAACAACTGCGAGATAAAACCAACAGCTCCAAGTTAATTCTGGTGACTTTTATAGGTTCAAAATATAAAATATCAACAAAAATTGAAATGCGGATCTAATTGTCAACGATCACCACGTACCAACTCCATATTTTGCATCACTTGTCGGTGTCCAAGCAGCCATTTTTCATATCCGACTTTCTGAACAGACTTTCATTTCTATTTTCAAGGAACTAGAGAAGTATGAAGACTGTCAAGGGTGTACATATGCATTTCCCAAGTCCTCAGTTCTCCGCACTCAAGTCCGGCGCCATGTTTATTTTCACTATCACATGCGAGCCTCGTTTGCGTGACTATTTTAATGCTCACCTCACCCGGGTGAGGGTCAAATTGTCTGTATGGGGTTTTGTAAACTAAAAAAATTCAACCATTTTTTTTTTCTAACTTTATTTCATGTAGATTTTTAAGATAAAAATGTAAATGAAAGACGTTTTTCCAAAACTTTTAAAATGGCCACACTGTTTTCCTTTCTAGACTAAATTTGGCAAAATTCCGCGCGAAAGCGGTTCTGTGTGTGACGTCACTTTTTACCCATAATATAAATTCCAAGATGGCGACCCAGAAGGAAGTTGCCCTTAACGGTCAAAAGACGGTTGAAAGTAAATCTCCATTACTGAAGAAGACAACGAGCCTTGTACTACCAAAAGATGAGCATGTCAAGAAAAAAAGGAAGATCAGTTTTGAAGCAGAGACAAAACCTCAGCTAATTCTCGAAAATTTAGGCAAAACGCAACGCTTGAGTTCGTCCGAGGAAAGTTGGAACATCACCTCCATGTCATCGCCTTCTCGCTCACCTTCGCCGACCAAAGCAACCAACAGCTTAAAGACAACCTTGAAAAAGATAAAAAAAGAAGGTACGATATCTTTTCAACGTTATTTTTGTTATTCTAGAATAGATTAAATCGTTCAGCGTACGGAATTATGACGAGCGAATGCAAGTAAATTTCGTCTGTGCTGTCGACCGGCGTTTACGTTGCACTGTTTTTTACAATTTTGTGAACTAAGCTGTATCTGATCGCTGAATTTTAAAAGGCAAAGACTGCTGGACACTTCGATCTCCAAATAATCCGTTCAACTGTAAATTTTTAAAAGTGGTAAATACACGAAAAGCCACTGCACACAGTAATTTCAAACATGTTATTGACTTCTGCATGTGATCGTTGAGCAGCTACAATCTTATTACGTTGACGTAACATACGTTACACTATCGATAGTTTCGGTCGTACAGCACAGATTTTAAGCTTAGGTCTTTTTGTAAATTGCAGTTAGAAACAGAAAACTCACGGTAATTGCTACAGATATATATGATCACTTGTAACGCGAATCGAAGTAAATTCGGCATTCATGAAAAGCTGCACGTGTTTTCTCCTAACACGAAGCTGGATCTGTTTTGCATAGCGTTGCGACATCAGCAACCAACAGTGTTTAAATATACATTTTTAGAACTTTTCCGATAAAAGAGAATGGGAAAGTGTCATGTAGAAAGTGGCCATTTGGTGCCGTTCCTCACGATCGCAACGTTCTTACGCAAGTTGTTGCATAATTTATTAACGAGTATTTTTAAGTGCAGGTAAAGTAATGTTCTCTTAAAAGATCCCTCTATTTTCCGTCTCTCTTTTCGTCTGCTGGTAATTTTTTAAGCTCAAGTCCATTGCCCATACCAGTGTGAAATGTCATGGCAATGTAAAGCTGTAAAAATTTTTCACACTCCATGAATAAATGTGAGACATAAAATTGGACACTGAAGATGAGAACTGCCCTAGTACATGTAGGTCCTCATGGGAGGGAAGAAAAAATGATTTACAGTACATCATAACTGTAGTTAGCCATCCTCTCTCTCTCGCCATTGACTTGGATTTACCAACTTTCAAAGCAATATGCACAGTTATTATATGGCTAGTTCCGTGAGTGGGGTAAGATGAATCAAATCCTGCGCTGTGATTGGCTACCCAAGCGGGCAGGATGGAGCTATCTTGCCCGCTCGGAGCTACCCGCCATGTCCCGCAAGAAAAATTTCCCTGAAAGCCATATAATAAATCCTATATTGACCAAGCTTGTTCATTCAAGATGGCTGGATATTGTCCTCGTTCTTTTTTTGTGAGTTTATGGACCTTGACTCTGTCTTGGTGCATAAACACGCAAAAAAAGAACTTGGCCAATATCCAGCCATCTTGACCTCACACTTGGTCAATAACCCATATATACCCATACTCATCCACCAAATGCTTGTGTGATTGGAGCATAAGAATGCCCAGTAACATCTTCTATCTTTCATGGTCTTTTGGTTCCACCTCACTCCAGTTAGTCCAGGCCAGGTCTTTGCACTCGGCTTCAACTGTTCACCTCCATGTAATGTTTGGTCTGCTGCACCTTCTCTTGTCTTCAGGGGTCCAGGTGAGAGCAATGTGGCAGTCATTGTCTGTCTCTCACCTCAAGACATGACTGACCCATCTCCATTGGCCGATCTTCATGGTTTCCAAGATGGTTATCTCCAGCTCTTTCATAAAGGTCTTAGTATGCAGGGGATTCTCCTTAGACTAGTGCGACCTCTCACATCAAAGCTAATTATTATATTATTCAATATCAAAATTGGTACAAACTGTGTTGTACTCACTTCATACATGGGAAATTGCAAAAAAGTGACAACGTAGTTATAATCTGGAAGTTACAAAAAGGTAAATAACCTGCTGTAGTAGGTTTGTAAAACTGACGTCTCAATTGTCATCCCTTGTCCAATGCTCAGATGAAGAGCTGAGTGCTTGAAATGTCAGGGTTATTTACAAACTCACCATCAGTGGTTAATTTACCTCTGTCAACTTCAATTGTGTCACTCACCTACATGTTATGCAACATGAAAGTCTCTTTAGCACATTTCATGATTGATGGACTAAAGAATGTTCCTGAAGTTCACAAAATAGAGGAGTGTAATTTGAGAACTTTGAAACTATCACAATGCCCACTAATTATTATTCCTAATTGTATCCGGCCGCAGACTACTTTGAAACTTTTGACTACTTTGGATTATTGCCAAGCTCTTTATCATGAGCCTCTGGCTTGGGTGATTGAACAAGCACTCCCTGTGTTTGAAATTAAATTTGCATTTTTCCATTCATCACTATGGTAAAATAGACTGCTACATTTACAAATTTATCAGCTTCAGCTGTATGTGAAAAAAAGTATCCCTTCCTACTCGTATGTATAATTATAATATCAGACGTAAGAAGAATATGGATGCAGTTCCAGTGCTATGATATGTTTAACTTGAATCATTAGGTAGTTTATTTCGTAATTTAGTTTTTGATTGTTCTTTGCAGGGAAGTGTGAATTTACTCCCTCAGCACCAGAGATAATTTCACACAATGACTTGAAACTGAAAATCAAGAGAAATTCAGGTAATGACACAGTGTGCCACGTTTCCACTGGCCTGGTAGCCTGTGTCTAATAACAGAATCCAGGCTAGTGTTCCTGCACTGAATAAAATTCAAACTACATGTACATGTAGTATAATTTAATTTAACTGCTTTACTTTGATAAGCATTTCCATGGAAGACTGGTATATTTGAAATTTATCTGTACCATCATGGCAGCCATTGATTTTAGTTGGCATAGTCAGTATTACAAATAAAAAAACACGCAGATGACACTTGCTCGCACACATTTCATTAGAGGTGTCAAGACCCTGTTAGCTTTATTATTTGAGTCTGTTACATGTAATTGTGAGGTAAAATTCAAAAGTAAAAGTACAAAAGTAAATTGAATAAGACAGATGAGACTTGCTTGCACATAATGACAAGACCCTGCTTTGTCATTTGATTCTGTTACATGTAGCTATGGTGTTCTCTTGTAGAAGAAAATATATAATAATGTAATTTAAAATATTGTTTTTACGTTCAATTATCATACATGCCTGTGATCTAAAACATAATGTTGAGTACCATAGTTGAAAATGCATGCAAAACAACAAAATCAAGTGAAAAATATAAATGAGATGAAAGAGAAGGCTGTTACGAGTACTTGTTTACTCTTCGCTCTGTAAACTACAACCTATATGGAAATGGCATCCTGTCACTCGTCAAGCCAAGAACAACAACTTATGGTCTTCACTCTTTTTTGCACCTAAGTGCTAAACTGTGGAATTCCCTCCCAGAGGCCTTGAGAAGTTGTTACTAGATAAATGACTTCAAGAAGAATATTCTTAGTTTTATCAATTTAATTATTAATTTTAATAGTATGCCAAGTATGTACTTGGATATTTATTGTAACTGTAAATTTTTATATTGTATTTTGAGTTTTAACATAATATTTATAGGTATGTCTTTTAACATTTTTATTATAAATTTGTATTTTTATAGCATTTTTAATTATTTAGTTCGAAGATATTAGCTTTATTATTATAGCTACTCTCAAATTTGAGTCTAAAGTAAATAAAGTTTATGTATGTACAGTCAAACCTCGATTATCCGGACTCACTGGGACTAGATGAAATAGTCCTGATAATCGAGGGTCTGGATAATCGAAAATATGACAACATTTGATCGTGAAACAACACTTTTACAAATCGTTTGAAAAACAACATGGTCTACTGTACATCTTGAACCACTCAACTCTTAGCCAATCAGAACTCATTCGAGTGTTCTTCATTAGTTACGGTGCTTGCGAATGCTGCTTTTGCTCTTTAAAAGCGAACCAAACTCGCTTTTGACTGCACCTTTCAATGCTATAGTTTTAAAACAAATATTGCTACGGATCTTGATCGTGACTAATAAATATTGATGATAAAATTGGGACTAGAGAAAAAGTCCGGATAATCGAGAAATCCGGATAGTCAAGGTACGGATGATTGAGATTCGACTGTATGTATATATGTAATGTTGAAGAGTAGTCATTATCATCGATCAATAAACATGACTAATTCATCTTGTTCTTGGCTTTCCTCAGTTGATACAAATCACGAGAGCAATGGTGCTGCTAAACTCAACGGAGGATCAGATGTCAAGAAGAAAAAGAAGAAACACAAGGACCATCATCACCACCATCATAACCACGAAGAAGAAAAGAATTTCAACGACCAAGATTATTCTATACGGTTAAATCCCAAAGAAAAGACTCGTCTGTCTCATCTCATTCACACTGAAGTTGATGCTAATGGGGGCGCCTCAGTCCTCCATGTTTATTCCGATGAAATTGCAGGTTTACGAGAAGAAAAATTGCAGAAGTTTGTAAAACTTTTTTTCCGTGAAGTCTTTGCTGAAAAGAGTGAAGGTGTAGCGAAAAATGTAATGGGCATCGTTCACAATGCAGCAGCATATCTGCCTGAACTTGTGAAGTATTTTGGAGTGAACCATCCGAATCTTGTTGTCAAGGTGTCGTCATTGTATAAAAAGTCAGACCTTGAGACTTTAAAAATGGAGGAGTTCTCTCAAAGAGTGCAATCTTCGTATTCTCATGGGACATATCGATCAGGACCTTTACTGCAGTTCAGCTTAGTTGGAACTGTGCAAGAAGAAAGTGGAGGGTATTTCCCAGAATTTCTGGACCTTCTTGAACAATGTCTGTTTCTAAAGGAGACTATGCCGTGGGGAAGTTTCTCTGCCCTTAATTTACCTGAACGAAACAAAAGCAATGACGGTCCGATTTTGTGGGTTCGACCAGGAGAGCAGGTTGTTCCTACAGCGGAGTCCAAGTCTCCATACAAAAAACGGAGGTATGTAGATTTTAATTCTTTTTAATACATTGTGCAAATATACTTGTTGTACATGTATAGTATGTAGCAAACATCATCATCAGCAGCAGCACCATCAGCATCATTGTAGGCCCTCTCATACATGTAGGCATAGTTTACTGCTTTTCTCTGTCGGACTGGAGGATTTATCCATCACTTGCCTGACTGCTAATTAAAAGAGGTCCCAAGATAAAAATCCTTTCAGGCTAGCATGCAACGACACCACCTGGCTATTCATTATCTCTTTGCACCCTGACCACAGGACAACAGCAAGACAAATGTGCACATAATGTAGTATAAATGTTTTTTTTTTTCTTTCTCCAAGAATTGGTGTTAATGAACTTCAAAACCTACAGTACCTGCCCAGAGCCTCTGAGCCCAGAGAAATTCTTGCTGAAGACAGAACGCGGTGTCATGCTGACCATGTTGGACATGGTTTTGACAGGCAGACTACTGCAGCGGTGGGAGTCTTGAAAGCAGTTCATTGTGGAGAAATGTAAGCACTCAGCTATGCGTGCTCATATCATCTGTTAGTACATGTAGTTGATATATTGATTGTAGCTCATTAAGTAGTTACTTGTAGTATTGTAATTAGTTCACATGCACATGGACATGTTTTTATTACATAGCGTCAGTGAAGGCAATACGTCAGTTGGGCGTCAGTTTCATGTAAAGCTCAGTAACTACTCGCAGTACATGTATGTTAATTTGTGATTAAATAAACGTGTTGTTACATCTCCCATATTTAGCTTGTTAATAACTGCTTTAACCAGAGAGTCAGTTATCTACATGTAAAATTCTTCTAACTTTGTGGATGTACACTGACAATTGGTTATTTTCTTGTTTTCTAGTCCTTCTGCCAACAGAGATTGCAAAGATGTGGTGTGTTTTAGTGCTGAAAACTTCAATTTTCTGGCTCAGAAATTACAGTTGGATCTTCATGAACCCCCAGTTCAACAGGTAGGGAACAGGCTGTTTGACTTCATAGTGATAATGCAGTGATTTACATGTACAAGTATCTGGAAGATACATTGTTACCGGTACCCTTTGAACTCCTGGGAGGCATGGTGACTGCATGATTAGTTCACTCTACTCCAGATTAAGTGGTCTGAAATTGGGCTAGAACCTGATTCGAGCTCTGGCCAGTTGTGTTGTGTTCTTGGGCAAGACACTTTACTCTCACAGTGCCTCTCTCCACCCAGGTGTATTTAAATGGGTACCAGGGAATTTAATGCTTGTGGTAACACCTCAATAGACTACATATGGCATCCCATCCAGGGGGGAGTAGAAATACTCAGGCTAGTCACTTCATGCAACAGAAACCAGAGATAAGCTCTGGCCTGATGGACCACTGGGTTCCTATGCAATCTTTACCTTACCTTTTTTTACCACCTGGGAACAGCTTCTTTGTTCATGCATGACTGTCAAATTTTATACAAGAGGCACAATTTAGCCAAACCTTTTTTTGTGTTTAGTTCATTTTGTGCAAGCTTGTATTCTGGGGTTCATCTATGCCATGTACATGCACATGTGTATAACTGTTTTTATAACTATGTTATACATTATAAAATTTTCCTCTTATTTCAGTGTGTCAGCTGGGTAGATGATGCAAAACTTAATCAGCTAAGAAGAGAAGGTGTGAAATATTCCAAGTTCCTTCTGCGAGATAATGACATCTACTTCATCCCTCGTAACGTCATTCACCAGTTTAGAACAGTAACCGCATGTACAAGCCTAGCATGGCATCTGAGATACAAGAACTACTACCCAGAAGTCAAGGAAGCAGAAAAAACCATTGAGCAATAAGCAAGCATCGTGTAAGTGTTACTGTACAACCTGCTCAAGACTCACTGGGATGCCAACTCGAGGGCTTTTAGCCAGATGGGCATCCAGGCGTCCTGTGGACAGCCACTTATTAAAGAAAATTGTTTAATTTGTCTCATGTTGCATTATAAATTGTTGATTTGAGCAGGCCCCATAGCACATTTTGGACACCCACTTATTAAATCCTGGCTAAAAGCCTGCTGACCTGGATGCCCTTCTTAGAAACTCCAAGACTAGGGCTAAAATAAAAATGATTTTAGATTACGATATGAGAAAAAAAAAAGACACACAAAAACAAGACTTTGTGGCTCAACACAAAGGCTTCTGAGATTTCGAGGTCAGATCTGCACTTTCCGAGACGTAAAATATTCTACATACCATTCACCGTCTCATATACATGTACATCTACACATGACTTTCATTTATCAGTACAATTTGATCTCCCTACAAGCTGCATTGTAGACACCTCAGCAGACAATCAGAGCTGGTCTCTCATGTATGTCTGCCTTAGTGGGAGTTAATAATGCAGTACACTTACAGGATATACAGTCTGTCATTTACTTGTAGTAACACTTTTGACAAATGCAGTTTGAAGAGTTGAGAGGAAACAGAGTAGCCAAACCCTATTAAATCTTTTGTTCGCTAGTGACCAGAGTTTTAAATTGGCTGTTTTGGGTGAGATGGTTTGGTTGATCAATTTTTTGGTAGAAGGAGTTACTTGTTGAAGTTTTCCAGCAGAACAGTTTTCCAACTACCTAGAACTTGAGCTGTTATACACCATTCAACAATCCTTACCTCATTACCGTGGGTCTGTAGTAGAGTACAAAGTGTATAGTGGAGTACGAAAAAAGATACAAGCTGACCGACACAACCTGGTCAATCTATAGAATATCCAAACAGTTGTTTAGAGTTTGAAAGGTGTTCAGTTCTATTACCTAAATTAGCCAAAAATAAAATTACACATCAAACTGAGAAAATGTTTACATTTAAGGTGGCTCAAAACAGTTTCCAACATGGAAATTTAAGGTGGCTCTGAACCCTATGTACTGAATTTTTTTAAACTTTGCCAAAAGTTGCGTCTTATCATGCTTATCAAAAGTTGCTGATATAAAAAATTTCACTGTGCCGTTTTTGAATTATAAGCCCCTAAAGTTGTAATTAAGGGTGTTTTTAGGAGGTCATACTGTTGCTATGGTAATCTATTGCATCACGAGAGTCATAACAACGTGTTCACTAATGGTTGGGGAGTTTTCTGATACCACGATTGTAGCATTAAGTGATAAAGAGTGGTTATAACGATCCACCAAAATCTAAGTGCTGGAAACTGTTTCGAGCCACCTTAAGTTTAACTCCCAGAATGAGTGATCAGAGTATTCATTTTCTGTGTGAGACTTACAGATTAGGATTCTAGAATTATTAAAATGTTTAACCACCACCAACAACAACAACATTTTATTTTCTCATTACAAATACAAATATTATTACACAAGATATTTGAAACAAAATCTCTGGCCTACTCTCCTACATGTACTCTCCACAAGTATGAAATTCCTGTTTTTTAGTGGTGAATTTTTTTTTTTTTATTTGAAACAGAAAATAGATGTTGCAGGTTAAAATGAATAGATCTCAGGTCAAAATGATTTCAAACTAGTTTGATTTGTATTTCCTTTCTTTAAGGGACTTGGTAATAAATCTGGAACAAAGGAACATACAATTCAAACTAGTTCAAAAACACTTTGACCTAAAATTCATTTTAAACTACAACATATACATTGTGGACGGACTTGTTTCAAAGCTGTTAAGAATATATTGCATGGTTGCAGTGGATAAGATACATGTAGAAACAAAGTTTTCTTAGCAATCAACTAACATAATTATAGTTGTCTGGGGTTTTTTTTGTTTGTTTGTTTGTTTTTTTTTTAACTGTGCCAGAAAATCCAAAATTTAAAACTATCACTGACTTAGATTTTGGTTGCAGGAAAAAAAAACTAGGTAGCCATATTAACAAAGTGACTGTTTTGTGGGAATGCACTTAATCTTTTTTTCCTTTAAAACCAATTTAGAATCCTCAATATTGAGGAGGATGATGATGTTGACATTCTGTCACCTTTGTTATTCGTGAAGTGCATTGTTTCTGTTGGAACTTTTTAGTCACTAACATCAATAATTTTTTAGCTTGTGGTCACCTTTTTACAAGAGATTTTGGAGGCAGGTTGTAAGTTGTGCTTGTCAAACAAGCCAGCGGAAATCAAGCTCTAGTTATAAGCATATACATGTAGAACCAGTTGAGATCATCTTAGGAAGTTTTGACTTGGAAGGAAATTCTCCCTAGCAGAATTAGAGGAAATATATGAAGGATGTAATGAGAATTTAAATGTTAAACTTGAGGCTAGGTTTATACTAGTATGAGCATGGCTCACTAGTCTCTTTTGCAGTTGTTATTTGGCTTGTCATACACAATACTTTGAAGTATTGTGAGACAATCTTAACATTTTCAGTAGTTTTGCCAATTAAAATGATCCTATGGTGGGGCAGTGAAAAGGAATCTATTACCAAAGATGAGTCAAATGATCCCCATGTATGTAAAAGTACATTTACATATCACGAGAGATCCATTAGAAATGCTGTGAGAAGTCTCAATTAAAAAAAAAAAAACAGTCTTGCACAATGAGGTCAATTTTTGAAAAGTCCTTAAGCCTTGAATAATGGTTGTTTGTTTGATTAAGACCTCACTGCAAGCCGTCCTATAAGGGATGATTAAGATGGGAAAACTTTGCTGCATGCAACAAGCTTAAAAGACAAATGTATCGCATGGGTAGTCTTATATATTAAAATCGAGTCTGTAACTTGCTTTACTCAGAAGTGGTAGGTTTGATTTACATGAAGTAGTTCATGTCTTTTACTTGTCGCAAGCTTGTGTCATGTGACAAAGTTGTCCCTTCAAAGATAATTACCCTAGAGTTCTTGTGACGTATTGCTGTATAAATTATATCTATAGTATTTCAGAGATAAATATTACTTAATTGATATGTATTTAATAATAATAATTATAAAACCTAGTTTCACAGAAAAAAGATCAATCTGTTTGTTAGTTTTGATACAGAAGATTGCGTGACACTTGCGTCACGCCATTCAGCTGTCATTGACATGTACATGTATGCACAATGAATATCTATCGACCGATGTTTACCTTGTTTATGTGACGTCAAAAAGCATGGGCAGTGTTGAGAAGTTGAAAAGTATTTATTGATAGGTTATAAGAGTTGTTAACTTATTATCATTGTAAATAGTGTTTTTATTGCATTAAAAATGGTTTCAAAGCTGTTTTGTTTTTCAATGCATGGTTGACCTCAAAAGCCTTACTGCTGATGCCCTCCTGTTCAGAAGCTTCGTAATTTAACACTACAGAAACATTGAGAGACTGAGTACCAGCTTTTGACACCAGTATTTCTGGAAAGTGGGTTCAAAGTTTTGGCTGTCCAGTTCGATCTAAAGAGCGAGTTTTTTTTTCACCAAACATCGAGCGAACTGAGTAATCAGAACTCCGAGTGAAACATGTAACGTGTGGCTCGCACGGGGGAAAGTCACATGAGCAAAGTTAATCCATTTATTAAAAACTGATTCAACGCGATCACGGTTGATCATCGCAGTTATTCACATAACTTAAGCAGTTGTCAGGCCTGAAATTTTTTTTTTTCAGGCTTTAATTTTCACAACTGTTTAAGTTGTGTATGTAACTGCGATGATTAATCATGTCTTCGTCTCTTTTTCCGCAATTCAAATATATGGTATTTCATATATTCACTTGCCTTAATTGAACGTGTGGCGTAATTGTTGTATTTCACAATCTGGAGAAAAGAAATGAACCAATCAGATTTTAAGCAAGAGCAGGTTACCGGTGACAAGCGCGGGAAAACGGGCAGAAACCAAGTCATGATTGGCTCGTGGAAAACGACATCTTTGCTTTGATTGGTTGTAGCAGCAGTTTGCGCGAGCCTTTTTTGATCAATCATAGCGTTCAGCAACCTGTAAAGCGAAGCAAACGATTATTTTGCCACTCGATAAAAGAATTGCGCTATTTCTAGAGTTAGCTGTACATCAAAACTAATCAACCGCTCTCGTTTTAGCTTCAAGTTTCCAATAAAGTGACAACACCAACCTTAGATAAAAATATTTTTTATTGTTACCCAAATATTGGAAGGGAGTACGGAAATATATAGAGGACCTCCCAGAGGTCTGGGGGAACAAAAGAACATGGGCCCGTGATCATTCCTTGATATCTTTTGACGATTAACTTGGGATATCTCTACTATCAGCTCATGCAAATGAGCTACTTGTACGCTTCAGACTTTCCTTTCAAAAACTTTTGCAAACTCGCTCAACATGCAGAAACAATAACAAAAAAATGTTTGGGAAAAGAGTAATGACGCGTAATCGTTGTCGATAAGAGTACAGACCACGCTAAACCACATTTCGATTTGTTTTTTTACCACAAAATCAACGTCAAAGAAAATGTTTTTTTCAGAGCGCGAGCTGAAAAAGGCATTGCGCGACATATTGACGCGAGCAGCGTGGTATGGACTCTTATCGACAACGGCAAATTAGCCAATCAGATTGCGAGATTAGCAGCAATTGTGGTAAAAAATGGAATTTATTTTGCGGGAACGGGGAAGACGCGAATTTTTTCACGGGAACATGAATCTCCCACTGGGAGGCCCTTTATATAAGGCCCCTCCCTCGAACATTCTTGGAATAAATAAGCCCCCTTAATAGAGGAGTTAAGGATAGTAATATTGACTTGACAGTTAAAATTATCTTACTTTTCGATGATATGTCGTTTGTACTGTTTTACTAGTAAAATAAAAATAGATAAATATATTTATCAGTCAAATCAATGATGAAACTGCAATCAGCAGTTCGGCCCCGAATTCCCTGTCGTTTATATACCCAATAAATAAATATATTCCAATTCTCAATTCGTAATAGAACTTGCATCTCCGCTCGTTCAATGTGAAAATACACATATCTCTCATCAACCTTAAAAGGAAACAAAAAGAGACTGTATATCAGGATACCTCAATGTTATTACTATTGCTACTTGAAATAAGACACAGTAAAGTTCCTTTACACCGCCCAAACTACAAACGCTGACCGACTGAGTGGAAGGCTGTTGAGTCAACTTGGAAAAGTTTCTACGGGTCTTCTGCGTTCTATACGAATTTCTTTTAACTCTAGCAGAAGCGATCATGAAGGCCGGTCTGAATCAGCAGTTATACTACTAAACTGACAACTGCATCTAGCTTTTTACGAGTCCCTTTGAGATTGCAAAAAAGCAGCTAAATAAGGTTTAAGCCTTCTTCAGGTTTAGGTGTTACTAAATTATAGAAATGAAATTACAATATTATATAGTTGTGGATGTCGTAACCTATATTTCGAAACTAAAAGGAGTGGCGGAAATGACGAACAAAACAAACTA